ATGTGTTTGCCCACAGGTGAGGGCAGGAGAGTTGACTTCCACATTGCTAATGTGGGCAGAAAGCATTCCTCCATGCAGACCCTGTGCATATCTCTGTTACAACTGAGCAGGAGGCTCTGCTGGTTCCGTTCTAGGATGCTGCTTCCAAGGTCCCTCGAGGAAGAGATCTAAATCTGGTATTGTCGCCTGCTGTCCCTCCATGTCTTTCCCCCACAAGCTCTACACACACACACACACACACACACACACACACACACAAGCCTGGCTTAAGCGGTTCACTAGTACTCTATCAAGTGCCTCTTGACATTCTATAGCCATCCTATGAGCCCTGGTCCTGCATGGATGCCCTGTGGGACCTGTACATAACCTTCAAGGGAAAAGAGGTGGAGGCCTCTCAGGGCTTTGAAGCCTAGTTCCAAGACTCCAGAGCCCAGCTTGCAGTTACAGTTCACTCTACAGTTAGCTTTCTGGAACTCTAGGTCCTGAGGATACAATCCATGCTTGATGGTTAATATTTACAAAAAGAAAAAAGCCCACATCTGTACTGAACACAGACAGATTCTTTCTTGTCATTATTCCTTGGACAATCCAGTATAATAGCTGGCTATAGAACATTTACATTGCTTTTGGTATTTTAAGTCATTTATAAATGATTTAAGGACTACAGGAGGATGTGCATGGTTTGTATGCAAATATTGTGCCATCTTATACAAAGAACCTGAAATCCACGGATTTCAGTATTCTTGGGAGTTCCTGGAACCAATTGCTGCAGACATCCTGGGACAGACAAATGTATACTGTAAACATGGAAGGCAGAGGTGCTCAAATACCACATTAAGAGGTCTCCATCTTAAGCCACCAAAGCAAAGCAGTGTTCAGGCATGCAAAATAGACGTTCTCAACACTGGCTTACATCTCTGGAGATATTTATTTTAAATAAGTCACAAGTACAGTGCATTTGGTTTCAATATCCTGAGCTTTTCCAGTTACGAGGCCACTCAAGTGTATAGATGATGAAGTAATTGGTAGAATTATTAAGGTTTCTTTGTGTGTGTGTGTGTGTGTGTGAGAGAGGAAGAGAGAGAGAGAGAGACTACTTTGTACAAGTCAAAGGAGTATGCCAACAATAGCACAGCTCTCGTCACGCTTGTTACTAAATGACTGCCAATTAATTCTGACATGGGACCTTGGCGGGTTACCCCAAACCCTGCATTTTATCACCTCAGGGGGTTAGCATTTGGACATTTCCATGACATTTTATGCTAATCAATCATCTTTCTTTTTTAAAAGCAGAGTGTTTCACAGGAGCCACAAGGAACCCCATGATGGCTAGAGACCCAGAACCACCCATTCCCTGAGCAGATTGGCCGTGGCTTTGCTGATAATGCCACTTTGAAGCAGCTTGTGACAAAGTTTCTTCTATTTCTTCCCTTCCAAGGGGGGGAGGAGGGGCGGGGAGATCTATACCAAATGTTAAGACAAGAGACTTCAGTCCCCAGAGCTTTCTCCTATTATTCAATCCTTAAAATATTACAAGAGGGTGCTTGTGATGGGAAGTGAACTTTAAGGTTGCCAAAGACCTTGACTCTCCAGATCTCTTACCAATGGATCCCAGGTTGGTTTAGTTAGTTCTATTCTGAGTCATGACACAGGTGGTAGGGACAAACGTCATGCTAAGATATTTCTGGGACCCCGGGCAAATGGTAATTCATCTGGAGACAGGCAAGCAGGCTGGCAAAGGAAGGGCAGATGCAAAGAATGAGCCTCCTGGGAGCCCTGAGTCAAGTGAGGGTCCTAAATCAGCCAGAGACCACGTTCACAGGGTAAGACCCTTCATCATCCCTGTCACCTCTGGTCCTCTGCCCTCAAATGATCCTTCCAACCATTCTTCATCTAGGTCACCTTCAAAGGTCATCAAGCTGCAAAATATTTTACTGCTAACCTTTCAGTCTTCCTCCTATACTGTCTCCTGGATCCAGGGACTGAAGCCCAGGCTAAAACGTAAATTCTGTTTGTCCTTCCCATGACCACTGGGAAGAATAAGAGCAGTAGGTTATCTCAAATCTAGCTTCTTCCTTCCTCCTTTTTTATTCTTTACTTCCTCGTTGCCGTCCACTGCTAACACAAAGAGTGAACCTTAGCTGTCCAAGGGTTATAAAACAAAGCCAAAGCACACTGGCCATGGGACCATGCTGTCAAGTACATACTGGATGGTTCTGGTGAGATCAGTAGTCTATCTCTGCCTCAGTTTCCTCATTTGTAAAAGGGAAGGATGTCTATCACACCTGACTCATAGAGCTGTTGTGAAGAGAAAAGGGGCAATGCATGCCGTTTCAAGATTCAGACACACTGTCCACCTGCTAGTGATCACACCGGCAGAGCTCCCAGTACACCCCAGTTCCCACTCCTAAGCAAGGCCCAGCATCACTATCCAGCACGACATAGGGGCCATGTGGATAATCATCGCAGGGGATGTTTAAAAATTGTTATTCTGGAGCATTCAGTGCCTCGTCTAAGCCTCTCTGCTCTTAACAGCTAGGCCATACTCACACTTTGTGAGCACCCTAGCCAGAGCTACCACAGTAATGAAGACAAGAGCAGGGTTTGATGTAGGTGTGGCTGCAAAGCTCAAGACAGATACAGACTTAAGCAGGTAGAGGCCTTAGGAGTCAAGGTAAGGACTTGTCAAAGTCTGGAATCTTCTGAGGTGCCATATGCCATTCAGTTAGCTCCAAAGTACACCAGAGAGAGGAAAGGTATGGCTGCCCTTCTTCCTGGCCAGCCTCATTTCTCTACATCCCATGGCTGAGAAGTCAGCCCCGAGATGAACCTCATGCCCCCCTCTTTATGAAGCAGAGTGCCTATCACTAACAATGGCTGGCAAAAAGCTTGGTTTCTTAGGGAATGGAGCCCATGTGTTGTGTTCCCCGGCGTTGCCAGGACAACCATGCTACTGTACACAGAGCAGATTCATGTTGGCAGCAATGGACTGCCAAGCCAAGCCTTGTTCCACAGGGCCCAAGTCAGGATCTGTGAGGAAGGTGACACGGCTGGGAGGCAGGGGACAAGTCCTGGTGTTGGCAGATTCCTCTCCACTTATGGGCAGAAACTTGGAATTTCATGGTTTTTCTATGATGATAATCAGACTATTAACCATAGTCTGACCATTCAGCGCTATGGCCAAGCTACAGCTTGCTGACTATACTTGGAGTTCACGGAGGAGTAAAGTGCACACTGTAGTTTTGGAGTGCTCATCTCCAGTTACTTTCCAAGACAGAAAGGAGGGATTTAATAAACCAGCTGAAGAGAGCTTCAATTGCCATCTTGTATGTACTTAGATGTATGCAGAGAGACACTGGTTGGACTGGGGAGATACTGCCTTTCTTACTGTCCAGTGACCACATCTGGCCCATCATTACCTTGTAATTTCAAGGCCTTATCCATCATCTGAAGAGGCCACAGAGAAGTGACCCAAGAGGAACGATCAAAGCCCCAGGAAGAAGAAGCAGGGTCAGAACCCTAACCAGAGACAAACTAAAGTCCCTGCCTGACTCAACATTCACCTCCACAAGGCTGGGAGACCATGGTTAAGTCACTTTCCTTCTCTGAAACTCCGGGTCTGCTTTAAGATAAGACAGTTAGACATCACAAGATCATTCCTCAAGCTACCCTCTAGCTCAGACATTCTCTGCACAGTGCTTTGGCAATGGTGAAGGCTTCTGGAAGGCTTTACAAGTCTGAAGAACATAAGGTTGCATCTGGTTGTGTGGTTTCCTGTCTGCCTTCTCTTCAGTGTTTTGTGTGAGTATCTCTGGGTCTATGTATTGGGATGGAGATGTGGGGGGACTGAGGACAGAGACGAAAAGGTCGATGAAGGGCATATAAGACATCAAGAAGAGGGGAGCCCCGTGGAGTGAGATAATCTCGAGTAAATTAGAAGTAGGAAAACATTCCTTCCACATTCTTGGGAGTAAAGTGAGTTGTAGATCAAGATGGAATGTGGCCAAAGAAGGCTTCTGGTGAGAATTCCAGCCTTACCCTTGGCCAGGAGACAGAAGAGATAAGTATGAGGTCAAAGCACAGGGCTTGACACATAGGCAAAGTAAACATCCTTTTTCCCCCAGCATATCTGGAGAGAGAAGTGTCCACTTTGCCCTAAATACAGGACAGACCATGGAAAGAACGAGACTAAATCATAGTAACAGCACTGTCCCCGCCACTGTTAAAACGGTAACATCCACTCAAGTGAAGTCAGTGAGAATCCTTTGTGAGCATACCAATCATGTCTCACCAAATAGTTGAGCACTCACTACTATGAAAAAATCAATACGAGGCAGATTAAACCAACATTCTGCTTTTAACTAAAGGTGGGAAATCATGCGCACACTGTGGTTCTGCCGTTGCAGATCTGAATGAACCCCAAAGACATTTCTAGGCTGTGGGGTTTTGTACGGCAGCACCCAGCGTCTCACCTCTGGCTGCTAGAAACAGACACCTTTGCTTGCTGAAGAACTAACTCCTCCGAGACTCCACAGAGGACCCAACCACAGCCGACTCTGGTTTACATCAGAGACAGTCGAACATCCCAGATGCTGTCGCAGTGACTGGCATGTGACACACTGACAACTCCTTCCTTTTCAAGAAGCTATTGCTTTGTAGAGAACATGCAATCAGCAGCACATATGAACAGTCAACCCAACTCTATGGTCTCACTAATAAGACTTATAAGGGTACACTGTCCTAGAATCCTCCTCTTATAGAGCTGGATGTAGGGGCCCTAGACCACAGCTCCATTCTTTGTAATTGGCAGCGTCAGTTCCTTGTTCATGTGTCTCTCCACTCTATGACATATCACACTCTCCATTTATTGCATTTATAAAGCAGCTTCCACATTCAAATCTGAATAACATTTGCCGTTGTCACAGAGTGCATTTCAGAAAATAAACCCTTGGGTCCTCTAGAAGTGAGCTCCGACAGGAAGGCTACACCCCAGCTCTCACCTGTAAATTTGCACAAGGTGGCAAAACATGTGTGGGAATTTCATTCTCAGACCCTGCAGGTGCCTGGGGCTTGTTCTTGACCCGGAAGGCTGTAGTGGTGGTGGCAGTGGTGGTCTGCACCGGGAAGGCTGGCCGCCACACAGTCACATCAGAGCCATTGCCAAAGGCTTGAATTGCATTTTCTGCAGTAAAACAGAAGGAAATCCAATTTCAAAGTCAAGCAGCAAATGTAACAGGCAGGATACATACACACGGCCAGAGAGGCACACTAGAAATTCTGATTAAAGCAGCCATCTAGCCACCCCACTTATGTTCAGAGCTAGGCTTTTGGGTTGGGTGCTCGACAATCAATTCAATCCAGTGGGCACCAGTGGCTCACACCTGTAATCCTAGCTATACAGGAAGCTAAGACCTAAGAACTGTGGTTTGAAACCAGCCCAGGTAGGAAAGTCTGTGAGACTTTTATCTCTAATTAATCATAGAAAAAGCGGGAAGTAGTGCTGTGGCTCAAATGGTAGAATGCTCACCTGGAGCTGAAAGGAGCTCAGGCACAGCACCCAGGCCCAGAGTTCAATCCCCAGGGCCAGAAAAATAAAATAAAACTCATTAAATACTGAGGTGGACACTGGGATATCCTCCAACAAATATTTCTTGTGTTTCTATTTATGTGACAGGTGCTGAGCGAGGCCCTGGCTCTGAACTGCTCAGAGGTCAACCCTTAGGAAACTAGCCTCAGACGTTTAACTTGGACTCATAGAAAAATCTTATGCTTTGTCAAAATTCTATGCTAAAAGTAAATTGGTGAATGCTTCTTTTAAGTATATCCCTCATCGTGAGACTAAGGCAGGCAAAATGCAGCCAGTTTCTTTCAAAGAAAAATCTACCTCAAACCTCATCAATAGCTAGAGAACATTCAAGTAAAAAAATTTTTTTTTCCTTTTCTGCTCCCAAGTCTTCCAAACAAAATCTGCATAATTAGATAGAAGCAGCCCTGTTTAAATGAAAAGTTTAAAATGTAAAACTTTAAAAGCTTATTACAATTTCGTGGGATTAGATTGTTTTTTATGGCAGAACTAAATTGGTTGTGTGTTGTTCCCTCCTCAAAATGAATAAAAAACCGTTTTTAATCAGGTCTTCAGGGATTTGGCAAGGATTTAGGAATTTTTTATTTCATACTCATTGTATAAGAAATCAAACTCCTCCATTTGGGGCCTGAATGTGCAAATTGTTAATATACGACTCTCAGTTGGCATTGTTTCCCCACTGTATACAAGACAAAATAATTCAGGCCTAATCTTGCCCTGAGAACAGATATTTTTGTCTAAAATTGTTATTCTTTTAGTTTCACAAATTGGAAGCTCGTTTTCGACAACTTCACTTTTGGGGGGATAGAAGAAACAACTTCCAATTAATACAAATGCCTTTTTATGCTCTTAGCTGCACTGCATGGCTTAACCAGCGGATGGAATGCTGAGAATGGAGGACCTAGGGACCCGTTTTCCTAAATGATCTCAAAACAAGAACAATAAAACTCTTCCTTTTTCCTGTTTAGAAATGTAGAGCTTGGGCATAGTGGACCACACCTGTAATCCCAGCACTTGGGAAGCAGAGATGGGAGAAATCACTCATTTGAAGCCAGCCTGAGCTATATATACTGAGTTCCAGACCAGTCTTATCTATGCTTTCCCTAAGTGTTTACCTTGTCCCTGTGAGTTCAGTTGCTCAGATGTTCATTCATTCATTCATTTATTCAAACATTAATAGAAATTATGCACCAGGCACGGACTGCTGCACATGCTAGGTACATAATTGTAAACAACAGCATCAAAAGACAACAGTCTCTCCCCAACCACAACTTCCATCTGCAGAGGCAGATAAGCAAAATCTACAATAGACTAGAGGATGAGAAATGCTTGGAGAAAAAGGAAGCAACGAGGAACACCTAGGATCACTGGGATGCAAAGAGGAAGTTGATACGTGGGGTGGAATAAAGAGGAGGAAGTGGATGGGTAAAGTGGGAGGGAGCCCTCTCAGAGGAGACAACTTCTGGAAAAAGACTTGAGTGATGCAACTCAGCCCTCACTTCCATCACCACCCATTCTTCTCTCTTCCTCCAAACATCTATCTGCCACATACTTGGCTTAAACAATACAATTTACCAGCCCAAAACTAGAAGTAAACAATGGGTTACATTTGTGTTCATGGTAGAGCAACTGAAGAGAGGTTTGGTTTAATTTGAAATTGGTAAAACTGAGTTTCTCCATATGGATTCAAATTGAAAAAGTCCAATTGCTTCTCATTTAGAGCCTTTATGAGAGACTGAATATGCAGCCCCATGTTTTTGATGCTTTGTGTCCCATCCAGCCCAAGGACACGTAACACATAACTAAAATAATGCTGGCTGACTTTGGCCCTTCTTGTCAACCAAATGCATTTATTTTGATTGGAAAGTCATTAGCAATAAGATACCAGACTACTCTTCCCTATGCCAAAATGTTATTAAGCAGGGACAACTTTAATTTCTCTGTGGGGAGGAAAAGTACATTTTCCAGACAGTGTATTTTCTCATGCTGACTGTATTGTTATTGCTTTATCTTCTTAAAACTTCCAATCTATCAGGAGAATGCAAGATGTGAAAAAGAAGACAAGAGGAAAGACGAGGTCCCAGTTGCAATTCCTCGACACACCCAATGTCTAGGCAAATGCCTCCATCCTCAGACTAATTTTCTGCGTTTGAATTTCACTTAAGAATCCAAAAGCTTGTGTTATTTTTAAGAGGATCAAAGCAAGGGACTTTGGCCACATTATTTGAAGCGCCTGAGGACTTAGGTTTTACTTTGCAACAAAAGAAATGATGGAGAGATTTTAGAGTGATACTCAAAAGCTGCTTTGTGTGTATGTGGCAAATTGTCAGCTAATGCTTCAAAAATACCAGTCAACATACTGCAGAATGTTATGGAGAAATTGTTATATTGAGGACAAGGCTCTCAGTAGGGGACAGCTGAACCTTTATTCCAAGAAAATGGTCCCTGTCACCTAGAACTCAAACCTGATCCATAATGTTCAGGGTTACACTGTGGTCTAATAGGAGTGTGTGTGTGTGTGTGTGTGTGTGTGTGTGTGTGTGTGTGTGTTTGTGCGTGTGTGTGTGTTATACATGAAAGATTGGCTCTTTACTACTTGAACCACAGTTCAACTTCCAGCATTTTGCTGGTTAATTGCAGATTAAGAGTTCCACAGATTTTTTTCTCCCTGGGATGGTTCTGACCTCCATGGGAGCTTGGGGCTGGCACAAGGAACCTGGTTTTGGATGCTAACTCTGTCATGTATGGTTTATGTGAAGACAGTTTTTGTTCAGCTGCAGGACAGATATAATGAAACCTGTGTTTCATACTGTTCGGGTGCATAGTACAAATGAGATTTCGCATTATTACTCTACAGTGAGCTTGAACACACGCTACAGCCTTCCATAAATGGTAGCTTCCACATGAGAGAATGATAGTTTCTACTGTCCCAACTATGGCCATAGTGGGGCTGCCTGTGACAGAGCCCTGGCAGCCTGCTTTTGGAGTTTGTCACATGAACGTCCATTCTTCACATCTGTACATTCCTCTCTAGCTCCACCTCTTTGTTTCCAAATTGCCAAAAGAACACTGCAGCAATAACCAGCTCTGTTTCCAAGCAGGACCCCCTCCCATTCCCCCTCCACCCCGGAGTGCTTATCTCATCTCCCAAGATAACCCATATCCTTGGTCTCCTGGCTGCATCATCAGCTTCCCTCACTCAAGATTTGTTGCTTCTGCTCTCAGCCAACAATGAACATCCAAGGGGCTATTGATGTTAACATTCTAATTTCTCCCGGAGAGTCCTTGGAGTCCTCCCTCCATCTAATCTGTCTGTGCTTCTCACATTGTGTATTCTGCCCAGGTTTTTAGAACCTTAGGGATGTACTTTCCACGGGCTTGCCAAGATCAAAATTTCATCTGCGGGTAGAAAGATTCTTTCCCACAAAATGTACCCTCCAGTATTTGAATTTCTTCCTCTTTCAGGCTTTTGGATTGGGTCTTGGCAACATTACTCCATCACTTGTTCGAGTCCCTGCTACATGAGTATATCCAAAAGGATCTAGAGTCACCATCCGCTATTGGAAAAAGGAAGACAGGAAGCAAGAAGGAGAAAGACAGAGAGATGGACAGAGGCAACAGACATGAGACAAAGAGATACCTGCTGCCACTCAGGGAGGAAAACATGTATGTATCTGCCTGCTTCTTACTTATTTATTTTTTTATTAAAACTCACTAAGACATGTGTTGTCCTTGAAGAAGTTCAGGAATTTCAAACACTCTTCCAGCTCATTCCCACTGTTGCTGCAGTCACACCACGGGGCCACACTCAGGCTGCTGGAGTCTATGTAGTTGGGGGTCATCACTGTGCCTGAAAGTAGAAAACAAGGCATTTCATTCTCGGGGGTAGGGGTGGAGGATTTCTCCATAGCCTGAAAAGGAGCACACATTGCGCTGACAGCGGATGCGCTGTGGATAATTACAAACTCTGGGCTTGCCGAGTGGGAAATTTTGTTAAGCGGTGCATTTTCTTGGCAATTAATCTTGAGCACATAAAATAACTCACACATTTACTTTAAAAATTATAACAAAACTCCTGGAGCTTTATTTAGAGTATTTTCTTCTTGCATAAATGGTACGGATGCTATGGAGTAGGAGCAAATTAACTAAGAATGCATGAGTCGCCAAATCTCTTGCATTAACTTGAAAATGTCATCCATCTTCATAAATAGGTAGCAATGGGTCTACATATCTCAAAAAGATAATTTTAGTGATTGAAATCCATTGTCCTCTGAAGCAAATGACTTCTTCTTCAAAGGAAACTAAAGGAAGTTTCGAGGTTTCCAGTGTGTCTCCTCCCTACCCCCTACCCCACACCATATATCCTGTATCCTATAGATTAATGTCTATGATCCTCAGATTCTCAGCTGATTTAAATAAACTCCTCCACGTTGCGAAAGAACTGGATGTAAACAGTGGAAACTCTCTGAGATAGAAGCTCCTAAAACATCTCCTCAGAGAGGTGTTGGGTGATCTCTTCTGCTTATATCATGTGGCATTCCTGGTTTTTATAGTGAGTTCTGGACCCGCACAAATACACAATGAATTCATACTTATACAACCCAAATGTCTTCTCTGGGGTAGTGCACACTAAGCAGTAAGCAGTGTCCACTGGTATCCCAAAGCTTTCTGCTGTTAAGATATTCTTGTGGGATGAAGCAGTCATGAGTCCATCATCCACAGGGCATGCTTGGTTCCCAGCCAGAAAGAAGATTTTTTCTGAGTCATGGCCATGTTATCTTCATCCTCCATTCCTTATTGTTTTGCCCTGACTGAATAATATCCGTTTTACCTTGGCATGAAAATTCCCACCTGCAGCATAGAAGGACCTCTCACTCAGCTGGGGAAGAAATGGGCATCTCAAATATGGAGTGAAAACCATAACGCTAATGTATCCCTGGCACCAAGAATTAGAATCCAAGATTTGTCTTAAATAAAAAAGATGACCCAGAAATCATTGCTGAAGGAGATATCCACCCAAGAGAGAATGAAATTTTGGTTCCATAGCACATTGCTTCCACCACTCATCTGCTCTATTTCGCTTTGCCAAGCCTAGAACAAGCGCACAGAAGTGTTGGCTGCACCTTGCCTTGGCCACTCACGCAGGAGTTAATGAGCATGCGCTCCTGGAAAGACACCGGCTTATGTGCTAACAGCAATTACATGGGGGCGTGTAGCTTGACCTTGTCTTCTGAGAGCTTCTCTGGTTTAATTTTCCTTTTATTTTCTTTTAAACAGTGAGCATGAGATGATCATTTTTGTTATTTCTGTAATTCCACATTGGAATAAATAGTCCCCAGGAGAGACTAACATGGCTAAGGAAAAGGACTGTGTGAAAGCAGAGTACTGACACAGGAAGATACACTCATCGGTTAGATCAATAAAAATGGTCTATAACTCCACAATGGTTAAGGTATTATTAAATTACCACCCATGGGAGCAGAGGTGTCATTTCCAAAAGTTAAGAGTAACAAACGTGCAAGAATCAGAAATAACACCCTTGTATTCAATTCCATGACTGATTTTCTCAAAGACTCTTGTGGAAGAGGACACTCTAGTGACAAGGAGCTTATTCTGTGCTGTCATTCTAGGTGTGAAGTTTTTCCTGTTGGGGATGTGTGTGACCCTAACACAAACACCTTGCAGGAGCACATACCCTGCCTGGGTCATTACACTCTGACAATTTGTGATTTCTCTCACTTTTGACAGCATGTTCCTTCCTAAATGCCAACTTCATGGAGCATTGACACCAAGCCTTCTGCTGTCAACATACCTGGGACACCTGCCTTTCTCCTGACAGCCCTGTTGATCACTGGGTGCACATTTGCCTCTTTCTCATTCTTTTCTTTAACCCATTGGTACCTTGTTTAATGGCACCATACTCTTGATTACTGAGAACAGGGTTTGCCCAGTGTTTGATGTCTCAAAAGACAGAAAAAATATTGTTTCTGTTATGAAACAATATTTTTTCTGGGGGGAAGGAATAATCCATCAAACCCTAGCCTAAGTGATCCCTTGCACATGGGGAGTTGGACACCAAGACAGCTAATGACAAGAAGGATCCCATATTCAGGCATTTTATTTCCAAAGGGCTATTTCTGGGAAACAGCTTCTCTGATTGCACCAGACAGAATGACTTCCAAGTTCTTTCTTTCCAAAGTTCCCAAATTCAATTAACTTGGTTTGACTTGCTTTCTTCTTCCATAAGTAGGCAGGCTTGTTTTCCTGTTTTTGTTCTGCATGGTCAATTCCCCAACAGAGAAGCTCTACTCCTCATCCGACTTGCAATCTTTCTGTGCCTTAATAATCCCCATTTCCTGCCTTTGCTTTTCCTGCGTCCTCCTGTATCCATTACTCTTGCTTGTTTTCTTCTTCCACCTCTACCTCCTCTTTTTCCTTCTCCTTCTCTTCTTCATCTTTCTTCTCTTCTGCTTTTTTTTCTTCCTTCATTCCTTCCCTCCCTCCCTTCCTCCTTTCCTTCCTTCCTTCCTTCCTCTTATTCCTCTCCACATCCTTTCCCTCCTCCTTTATTTTTTTTTCTACAGATGTGTACCAAAGGGGTTATTGTTAAAACCCCAACCCAGAGGCTTCTGGGTAATTTTCCCTTGTGCACACATCATCAGGCTGCAAAGTGAAGTGTGAGGGGTGAAGGTAAAACAGACTCTCCTCCCATCCTACACCCCCCAATCTTACCAATCAGCCCCGAGTAGGCAAGGAGGCAGTCTGCATAATTCTCCTTTAGACAGCTGCTGACAGACCTTGACTCCGGCTGACAGTTGGTAAAAAAATCTGCTAGGCGAGATCTACAATAGGAAGAAAGGGGGAAATGTTTTAAAATGTCCTAAACTTCTGAGCTGGGAAGTGAGGTGTTGGTTAATGGGCGCAGGGGTGTAGTAACTTCTGGTGTATAGTGGGGTAAACAATGGTCAACAACAATTAATTGTCTGTTTTAAAATAACTGGTAGGGAGGATTTGGGATATTATCAACATGAAAATAATATTCATGTTTGAAGAAATAGCTGAGCCAGCTAATCTGATCTAATTATTATACATTGCATATATATTAAAATATCACATTGCAGCCATAAATATGTATAACATTGTTTCAGTGACAAATATAAAACATATATTAAGAGGAAAACTATCCTAAGTCTCCAGACATACATAAATTTTATTCCTTTGCTGGTATGCCTCTTTACACACACACACACACACACACACACACACACATGCACACATGCATATTTTTTTTTGCACAAACTCTTTGAATGTTGTCATCCTTCTTTATACCCTCCCAAATGTCTACCCCCTTTTTCCCCACCAAAGCCCTGGTCCACCTGTCTGTGCCTGTTTATTTAGAGAGAAGTCTTCAGGGTCTATAACTGGAGAAACCACGAGGCTTTGAAGTTCCCTTTCAATATTTATTTCTGACTAGACTTATTTGCATCTTTAGGAAAGATGCTTTTCTACACACTCACCAGAGATCCACAGTGGGAAAATATTTACTTTATACAGAAATGTGTTCCTGGCATCCAAATAGGATCTTAAAGCCCATCTGCTCCCGTAATTCCTCCTAGCTTAAAGAATGCATGTCTCTGTCTCCTAAGGCATCTCTCCTCTGCTCAGGAGGCAGTGATTTCTTCTAACCTGGTGTCACTTGAAGTGCTGGCCTTTGGGGACCAGAAGTGAGAGGCAAGAGGGATGGGTGCAATTCCCAGTGAGTGCCATGAGCATATGGTAGTGTCTGGAGAGTCTACAGGCCCAAGTATAGCTCTGACTCTACTTTGGCATCTCTACAGTGGCCAGCACGATCAGCCTAGAAGACCTGGGAGGTACTGACGTTGTAGAGACCCAGAAGTGAATGAGAAACCACAGGCTTTCATTCTGTGGCCAGCTGGCTGTTTCTCAATCCGAAAAAGATGTTGGAGAAATCCTGAAGGAGAACTGAGCCACTTCTGAGGTCATGTCAGCAGAGGGCAGCTCTGGTTCCAAGGGAGAACACAATGGCCTTGGGGGGAATTAAAATTATCTGGCAATTACGAGACATGGAGAGGTTTTGTCTCAGTTTTCTATCTTACACTTACTTGAGCTGGCTGCTGATACTTCCAGTGCTGTTTCTAATTCCTCCATCCCAAGAGATTGCATTTGCTAAGCATACTTTTAATACCAACAAGCCTGGGCTGATGGAGCTGGACATGGTAGCGAGGGGGTGGAGTGGGGTGAGGATGATAGAAAGCCTGTAAAGGCCCAGAGGAAGCACACGATACATCCTCTCCCTGCAATTTTAACTAGAAGGGGTGCTAAAAGGCCTGACAAATGGTAGATGTCTAAGTAAACTGCACAAGCTGCATAGGAATTTGTGTGGTTTTCTCCTTGAAGCTGAATAACTATCTCTATTGACTTGGGGGTACCTGGTCCATCATGGTGGAGCTCTAGGGCATATGCTAGAGATATGCTTTATTGATTTATTCATTCATTTATTTGTCTACTGTTTAATGTTATTTTGCACAGTATCTGGCACTCCTCAGAAAGGCCTTTATACCTCCTACTCAGGGCCATGTGCTGAAGCTGAAAGACCTAGTAAAAATCTATGAGACGCAGCTGAGTGTTGGTGGCTCACGCCTTTAAATCCTATCTATTCAGAAGTCTAAGATCTGAGGATTGTGGTTCAAAGCCAGCCTGTGGGATGAAAGTCTAATGAAAAGCTCAGGGACAGCTCCCAGGCTTGAGTTCAAACCCCACCACTGCCACCATCACCACCACCAACAACAAAAATGATGAGGCAGTGGCTGCTTGTGTGTACACTGGTTCTCAACCTCAGCCTGGGTCTTGCTGGTGTTTTTTTTGCTTTTCACCAAACACACTGAAGGATATAAAACATAGCTATTTTCTATAGTCTAGTTAAAGGATTTATTTCTTCTGAGGAAATCCTGGAAGGTGGCTTGGGTTTACTCAACTGGCTCTGATGGCATCCAGCTTGGATTGAGTGTTAATTTCAGAAGAATTTTCCCGGTCATGAAAGTTAATGATCTAGTGGTGCTGGCCTTCTAACTTTGCAAAGCCAGCCCAGGCAGCTGGGGCCCCAGCTCTACACACAACCTGGCTGCTGAACAGCTCTGTGCCCTGGCAGCCCGTCCCCACAGTCCCTGTTTATCCCTCAGAGACCTGTCTTCTGCTTCTCAGACTGTCAAGCAGACTATTAACCGAACCCCACTGTGAGGTGGATTACTGTCCTTCAGTGCGAGGCTAATGCCACCAGCCTCATTTTGCTTAACAACCTCAGTCCAATTGACTCACAATTGGACCCCGGAATGAAAGGCTAATTGAGTCAGTCTGTGGCAGAAAGCATCGTCCCGACTGAGAGGATAAAACAAAATGCACTGCTTGAGCAGAACCCTGGACGGCAGTGTGCTGAGATGGTGGGCACGGATCCCAGCCCAAGCCTAAGCCCAGCCAGTGCATGGGAAGGGACTTGCAAAATGAGACCGAGCCATGGCACGGTCACCACACTCAGGCTTTGCTTAGCTTTGATATACTTGGCCCACCTCTCCCTGATAGTTAATGTGGAGACGGGGTGGTCGCAGTCTAGAATTCCCATTTTGCAGAAGGACAAACTGAAATCAAAAGCATATACAGTGTTGTGCTGGAGCCAACTCATTACCGGTGAGTGGATTAAGTATGAAGGATTTTCTTTTGTTAGGATGACTTTGCCATAGTAGCCTGAAAGAATCATGTTGGGAACATTTACACCACGGCAATCAGCATAGGATACAAAGCAGGGCTTCATACTGCTCTCAGGGAACAAGTTGTTAGCTATTAACTGGCTGAAAGCTATTAACACTGCTGAAGAACCTGATACAGTCAGGCCCACTGAGAAAGCATGTATTTTGTCTTGGGATTCAGTCTCATCCCTTCTGGGACATGTGTCTTCTGCCATTCACACAGTGCCAAATGAGATGGTATGGTGTGCATTAACTTCCAGGCTTTAGATTGTTCCAAAGAGAGAGAAGAGACATGCTCAAAGGAGTCTTCCATCACAAACTCTCCTCTTCCCACCACACTATGTGCAAAGGGCTACACATACTAACAAACTAGCTGGTTGTCTTCCGTCCCAGAGACTCAATGATGTGTCCAGTGCTTGTGATATAATGATGAAAAAAACCTGTCCTTGGGTTTACATAATCTGTAGTTCAGATACTAAGAGAATATGTAAAAAGATTCTAATATTATGAGGCCTAGTTCTTTGTAAGAGGTAAGAAAAGCTACTACTTAGAAAAACACCAAAGATGAATGGAGAATTTGGTAGATATGCTTTACAAACTAAATATTCTTTTTTCCTAAAAGCTCTAGTGAGGTAGATACAATAATTGTATCCTAATTTTACAATCTAGGAAACCAAGTCTTGGAACATGGAGTAATAGAACTAGGATTTTAAACCTTTCATTCTGAGTGTAGCGTATATGCCTTCCATATCCCACAGCCCACAGAAGCTGGCTTTTAAAAGACCATGATTTGGAGACTTTAGAGACCCCAGTTGTAGAAGGAATGTATATGCTAGGTATAGATTTAAGAGCTCCACAGGCATTCATGTATTCAGTCCACAAAACAACCTACAGGCAGTGATACTATCAGCCCCATTATACAGATGAGGAGACAGGTCCAGTGATAATAAATGACTCCCTCCAGGTTGTCAAACTCTGTGAGGAAGCTGGAATATGGCAATATTCCACCAGACTCAAGAGTTATGACCCTCCACACACTCCTTATCAGGAACACTGATGGCCATTCAGCCTGGATGAACAGGCCACGGAATGCAAAAAACCCTCCAGAGAACTTAGAAGAGCCACTGAAGACATTAAACTAAGCAGTGACATGACCACATTTGCAGCTAAGTTAGATTCTTAGATGCAAATGGCAGATTTCTCAGTTAATCAGCAATGATTTGCTCAAGACCTACTCTCTATCCACCTGATTGGGCAGCCGTCGGGAACAGAGGAAATGGCCAGTGGTGGAAGGGTGGTTTCCTATAAGATAGCAATAAAAGCACTCAAGGACAGAAGGAGAGGGAAAAACAAACATGTCTGACGAGTGGACTTCTCTGGAATAGAAGTTGAGATGCAGAAAGGAAGTGGTAGACTGCCCAAAGAATCAGGGTGGTAGGAAAGACAGTGGAGGATGGATTTGCAAGGCAGACAGTGGCTGGTTGGGGCTGGCTGAGGGCATGGTATCCTGAGGAGCCAAGTCCAGCAGGTAGCTAGAGCTCTGGCTCTGTATCTGCGGGATCTCCTGCTGTATGAAAGCCTCAGCAGCCCAGGTCCCCTCGTATGCACACCCTGCGTTATGAATCATGCTGTAATAGCTTTCAATAGCCTCCCTGCCTAGGCTGCTGTGACCCAAACAAGGAAGCTTAAATGTTCAGTATGGGATTAACAAAGAAATTCCGCAATTGGATTTCTTCTGGAGACATGAAATCTCCATGACTACAGCAGTGATGAGCTCTGATTGTTTTTCTTCCCGAGAAAATGAAAAGGAAATGAATAGGCACTAATGTAGAAACGTATTGCCTTCAGTAAGAGAAAATCTCCCTGCCTTAAAGAGAAAGAGAAGACTGGCAAATGCTGTGATGGCCTTAGGAACTCTGCAAAAAGAGTGGTTTGTACAAAAAAATCATATTAAAGAAAGCACACTGCTAACTGGAAATAGAAAGATGATTATAATGATAAAGCCTAGAAGTGTCTTCTCAAATAGCAGATGGTCTTTTGACAGTGCAGAGAGAGGGAAAGGGAAAGAGAGAGAGAGAGAG